CCTTGCAGAAGTATTTATAATAAAAAGCAAGCAAATTAGATCGGCAAGGAAGACTATGATGGTACAAACTTTATTTTTCTATGAAAATTGGGATTTGGAGGAATCTCTTGAAATACAACTTTCCAACTCTATCCCATTTGGAGTAAAAGTGTGCGTAATGAAGAGATTCAACGGTTGCTCGCACCAAAAGGCGATGGCGGACTTCTCTTGACCAGCTGTCCGATGATTTTATGGAAAAATTCTTGTTGACGCTGTCCCACGAGTAATCTCCTTCAATGTTGGTGAAAAAGTAATAGGCTTTCGTTTGCCATTTGGTTAATATCATAAGGGTCGGGTACTATTCTTATAGCCCTATTCAAGCTAGCGAAACAAAAAAACTCCCAATTTGCCGCATTTATACACCAAACCTATGCATTTAGAGGAGTAAAGTGATATGGTTAGTTCAATTAAAATTTAAATCCAGAAGTATGTGGGTATGTATGATTGTGTGCTTATGAGTATTCATGTGATTATGACTTTCATGTGAAAGAAGCAACTTTAGCACATTTTATAGAAGTGCGTTGACCTCGTTGTCGTAACTTGTTCTTGTGGTCAGGGAGACTATGTAGGACGCACCTAGTCCGAAGTCGTCTGCCATAGTAGTTGTCATGATTCCCAGCATCTAAAAGTGGAATCTAATCATTATACATTTTCATTCGAACTGGTAACGAGTTATTATTTAGGTGGAAGTATTGCCTTTTTTCGCAATTTATCAGACAAACATTAACGAACCTACCCCTTACTGCGTCCCCTTTCATGATTCTATCCAGCGCCGGTCTACTCATTCAAGGCCCAGATGCCAGAAAAAAATCATGACATGGCATAAAAAGCAACATTACTGACTTAATGACCAATTCTCCAAAATGAAGTTACATCAATTCTCAATTCATAAAGCTAATTTTATAGCCCATATTTAACTTTTCAACTTTAGGGCCAAACCAACATAAGCATCGGACAGTATGCTGAAGAGGGTGCCTACAATGCCGGATTTGTCTCAGATAAGCATGAAGTCTTCCCAACCGACAAATCCAACATCCAAGTCCGCCGATCTTCGAGGTCAACTGAGCCGAACTCAGAGCATCCAGACTCATGCAATGAGGTTCAAGCCTCGACATTTATGGATTCTGTCGATCTGGAGGCAGTAGATAAAGGAGAATTGGAAGGTGAGTCTTCTGGATATCATAGATAATGGATGGTCAGTGAAGCCACTTCTACCGTTTGTCATTTGGTCCTTCATCGCCTTCGTGTTGGGCTGTTAGCTATGCGTTCACATGAGTCGGATTATCTCGGCCATTGTATTTTTCGCATTTAAGTATTGTTTCGAGACTACCAGTAAATCAGTAATATGAGATGTATTCACCCAATTTCGTTTAAGGTGATGAAGGACTTTGTAGTAGTTGTAGTTCAATTGTAGTTCAATCGAAAATGTTGCCCCAAGCTGTTTAACTTTGCATGCATGAGATTCATTTACAAGAATTGATCAAAGCTATTCGCGCCAGTTCTTTCTTCAAAAAAAGTTGTATTCACCATATGTCGCATAATGTGGTGAAGTATGTGATAGTTGAATTTTCCCATATTCATCTGAGTAAGTCTCAAGATGCGAATGCATTTTACTTAAGCTTGCTTCCCAAAAGTTATTGTAATTCATGATCGTGAAAACTTTCGTTTCATATAAAAGGATATTCGTGGCTTGATCTCACCATAAGACAATGGTCGATTTCAGATGTTCTGCAGCCGTATGGCTTTAATGCGAGATTGACGTCCGGCACTTACTCTTACTAAAAAACTATTTAATAAAGATAGATATAGAATGCGGCTAACTTCTGTGCGCATTACCGGGTCAAAATCAAAGCAATTACAAAAGCCTATTGTCAGGCTTGAGTCATCAAAGCTTAATTACCCAAGAACAAACCCGATTGAAACATGTGAAGAAAAGTTGGGTTTCGAGGAATCTCTTGTTTCATAATTGTTGAGCATACTTTCATTACGAGTGAAAGTGTCGAGTGAAGAGATTCTAAGGTCGGTTCAACCAGAAGACGACGGCGGATTCCTCTTGACCAGCTGTCGATTGGCTATACTGGAAGATTCATGCTGACGC